TGCCTTAGTGAAAAGATTGTGCCCTCCATTGAGCTGTTTAGGTGCATGTTTGAGTTGCACAACTTACCCCAATACAATGCTTTCATGTATTTCAGTACCAAGTTCCCTCTTCGCATTCTTAAGTACAGAAATTTCAATAGCGGGATCTCAATTCTTCTTCGTTTGGCCTTCTGAAGGTCAATTTCCATTCAACACTTATTGGAGAATCACTCAAATTCATCTTTTCAGCAGTCATGTTGAGTCAAATTTGTCTTTTCAACAACTGACCCATATACCGCCTCTTGCACCCCTCATCCCTCAAGTCTTAACAGTAAGGAAGATGTTGACAATGGGGATTGATCGACCTATTGGTAGGTCCTTATTTATAGTTTTTGATTTTCATTCTGCATTTTTCTTCAGTTGCTGGCCCTTGCGTCTGACTTTCTTGGTTGTATGTACGTAGGTATGGACTTTGACTTGGCAGGAGTTTTGAGCTCACTATCTGAGCTCGAGCCCAAGAGTGACGAGGGGTTGTCTCATGCTCCGTCCAAGAAGAGAAAAGTCAAGAACAAGAAAAAGGGAAAAACACTAACAGGGGGTCTTCTCTACCATTGGAGGAACCTGCGGGAGGAGTTCCACCATATGATGCAGAAGAGAGAAACTCGAGTCTCGACGAGTTCCAATTTGAGAGTGATGGTTCTCCACTTCTAGATCTTCGATTTCCTTCTACTCGAGGTGTGCGCAAAATTGATATGGTCGATGCTTTCATTATGTCTGACCATACCAAAGCTTTGTCTAGGTGCCGGGTGGACGATGTAGAGAGGCTCCTGGCGGTTTACAATAGAAGGGTACCCCGTCTTTCTATTTCTTCATTTTTATTCACATTTATACTTCGTGTAACAATCTTGCCTTGTTTTTATTATTTGCTTGACAGGTCTTGACAATGCAAACTTCTCCCATCGAAGCAAGTTACCTTGTAACTACTGAATTAAAAGATCTCAAGGAGGAGAAAGGCAAGGAAGTGGGCAATCTTAAGAAGTCTCTCGATGTTGTGGAGGTTCAGAAGAAGGAAATGGAATTTCGCATCAATGAACAAGAGAGAGAAATTGACAACCTTCGCTCTTCCTTGGCCCGTGTTCAAATCAATGCAGTAGACCGTTATAAGGCATCTTCAAAGTATGCTAAGGATATGAACGATTGTGGGGTAAAAACAATGGCAGCCTCTATCGCCCTTACCAAAGAGTGGGTGTCAGCTGAGCATCCATCCATTGATCCCTCTGACTATGATCGCTTTCTGTTACAACGTAGAAATAAAGAAAAAGCGACTAAGCAGACTAAAACATTTGGGCACACCAGTGCGCCACGAAGAGGAAGTTCGAACCCAGAATGACTTAGCTTTTTATTACTTGTTTAAGCTTTTCGTTGTTGTCCCTTTTCGCCATTTGACTATTCAATAGTTTTTTCTTGGTCCGAGATGTGGACAGGATATTATGCTTTGCATTTATTATGATTGATATGTCATGCGCTCAGTACTATTATTGCTATTATTAATTTTTATCATTTTGATATTGCTAGTTTTTGACCTTGTCATTTATTCCTTTTTTTTTTTTTAGCAATTTTGAAGCGCAGAGTGCTAGTTGCAGCTATCTCGCATCTTAGCAAATTTTAGCTTGAGAGCTCATTGCTAGACCATATATCGATTTTGAGATTTGATGATTTCGCCCTTCATTCGGTTGCTCACTGCTGCCCTTCAAATGCCTTAGGATTGTAGAGCATGAGATTTGATAATTTTGCCCTTTACAAATTTTTCTTGGTTTTAAGAGCCCCTATCCAACCGTAGAGTGATTTCGAGCTCACCCCTTTTGTCGGTTTTACTGCTCACCATCATTCGTTAAATGTCTTCGTAAGGCATGAGATCTGGTGATTTTGCCTCCCATCCATTTGTTTGATTTTGGAAGCTTACCATCAGATCATAAAGCGATTTTGAGCCAACCAGTTTCGTTGGTTTTATTGCTCATCGCTATTCATCGAACGCCTTCGCAAGGCATGAGATCTGGTGATTTCGCCTCTTAACCACTTATGCGGTCTGGGAAGCTTACCATCAGACCTTGGAGCAATTTTGAGCTAACCAATTTTGTTGGTTTTATTGCTCATCGCTATTTGTTGAACGCTTTAGAAACTTTAAGGGGTGTTTTGCAACTCATTATTCAGTCAAATGTATACCCAACTCCTGTATAAACACATAACTTTGTCCAGATTTGGGGATCAGTAGACGCACCGGGACGTCCTAGCTAGGCTGGCCCTTTCTAAGCGCCCTCATCATCTGGGCCTTTCATTAATAATTCAAGTGATTACAACATGATATGCCTGCATTAGGCAATACATTACGTGAGTCTGTGGTCGATGTGATAACTTTCACAAAAAGCCTTGAAGCCGTAGTTGTCGAATTGTCTACCGTTGTCAGTTATAAGAACTCTAGGTATGCCAAACTTTCACATTATATTCTTCCAAGTGAAACTCTGTACCTTGGCCATTGTGATGGTGGCTAAGGGCTCCGCCTCGACCCATTTGGTGAAATAATCGATGGCTACTAACAAAATCTTCCTTTGCCCCTTGGCTATGGGTAGAGGCCCCAAGATGTCCATTCTCTACTGGAAAAAATGGCATACCCCGAAAATGGCATATTGCTGCTCCGCGGGAACATGAATCAAATTTTCGTGACGCTGACATGCATCACACTTCTCACGAACTCTTTGGCATCCTGCTTCATAGTCGGCTAATAAATCCCTATCTAAGGGCCTTGAATGCAAGGCCGACCTCCCCCTGATGGTTGCCACAGATCCATGCATGGATTTCTAACAACACCTCATGTGCCTCAATTGGGCGCAAACGTTTTAAGTAAGGCATGGTGAAGCCTCGCTTGTAGAGCTTCCCGTCGATTATGCTGAACGAAGCTATTTGAGGTTTCAATCTTTTGGCCTCAAGAACATCCGCTAGCAATTTATCCTCCACGAGATAATCAATTATTGAGTATATCCAACTTTTCTCATATTCCATGTGTACCACATCGATTACATGCTGTACACTCGGGTGTCGCAAGACTTGCACATTCGCTGTACTGGGTAACTTCTTTATACTTGGCATCATTTTTTGTTGTCGAAAACTTGAAACGCAATAAATATTCCCGTTCCTTAGACCCTGGTCCTATAATAATAATGTCTGCTCCGAATCCTTCACTATGTGAGGATCCATCCACAAAGATTTTCCAAACTTTCTTATGCCCCACGGATTGGTCAAGCAAGGTTGTAAGCTCTGTGATAAAGTCCGCCATTCGTTTATTCGAACTTGTTCACTAGCTTCTATGTTACTAATAAAAATCATATCTTTACTAACTTCTATGTTACTGATAAAAAGCTTTATTTTGGTGGTAGTAATAGAATTCAGGTTTCTCAGATCATAAATCATATTTTCAAACTTATTTCGAGCTTAAATAGCAAAAATATAATATTATTAGCGAGCACGATGAATTGTATATAATGAAGTTTATCTTCTTATTCATTTTAAACTAAAAAGTCAAAACCAAACACGATTTATAATGTTAGAAGTTTGATTCTCACCTTATACATCGTGTTTAGGAAAATGGGCACCATCATTTTTACGAAACGACAGTAGTACATCAAAAGGTCCTACAGATCATAATCAAATGTAATTAATATTCCAGTTCCTCGGACCCTAGTCCTATCATAATAATGCCTGCTCTGGATCCTTCACTATGTGAGGATCCATCCACAAAATTTTTTCAAATTTCCTCATACCTTGTCGGTTGGTCAAGTGGGGTTGTAAGCTCTGCAATAAAGTCTACCAAAGCTTGCGCTTTAATAGCTATCCTCGATTTGAATTCGATGTCAAATTCACTTAATTCGATTGCCTATTTTAACATTCTCCCGAACATCTCGGGTCGATGCAAAATTTGCTTGACGGGCTGATCGGTCATGTGTTGTATGATATTGGAAATACAACCTTAACTTTCTGATTGCCACAATCAATGCGAACACCAATTGCTCTGCAAGACTATACCTGGTTTCTGCACCTCTCAAAATATGGCTTATGTAATACACTAGCTTTTGTGACTTTGGAAATTCTTTCACGAGCACCACGCTGACTGCGTGCTTTGAAATGGACAAATACAAATATAACACATCCCTTGCACATGGACTAATCCTGACCGGGGGCTGCTGGAGTGACTGCTTCAAAGATTCGAGGGATTCTTCTCACTCCTTGGTCCATTCAAAGTTGTTTGAGCCCCCAATTGCCTTGAAAAAGTGGTAGCACTTATCAGCTGCTCGACTCATGGAACAACTCAATGCTATTACCCATCTCGTGAGCCGCTGGACCTCTCTTTTGCTTGAGGGGCTTTACTTCTCTAGGATGGCTCGGATCTTATCTGGATTTGCTTCGATGCCTCTTTGTGAAATCATGAAACCGAGGAACTTTCTGCCCACTGTTCCAAAAACACACTTCTCAGGATTGAATTTCAGCCTACTCTGTCGAACCACGTCGAACACTTTCCACAGATCAGCTACGTGGTTATCAGTCTTAATACATTTGACGACCATATCATCAACATAAACTTCGATTATATTTCCAATTAGGTCTTTGAAGACTTTATTCACCATTTTTTCATAAGTTGCTCCAACATTTTTCAAGTCGAATGGCATAGCTGTGTAGCAATACGTTCCCGAGTCAATTATAAAAGATGTTTTTTCCTGGTCCGACTCGGCCATAAAGATTTGGTGATACCCGGAGAAGGCAACCAGAAAGCTTAGTCATTCATGATCTGATGTGACATCTACCAAATGATCTATCCTGGTAGCGGATATGAATATTTGGGAGATACTTTGTTTAAAGCGGTGTAATCCACGTACATGGGCCATTTTCCATTCGATTTTTTCATGAGGACAACATTGGTCAAGCATTTTGGGTATTGTACTTTCCTAACAAACCTTCTATCCAACAACTTTTCAACTTTCGCCTTTCGTTGTGGCATGTCGCTCTGGATCAAGATTTCTCTTCTTTTGCCTTATAGGCTTTGCTCCCGATGAAATACCAAGGCGGTGCTGAGCAACTGATGGACTGATCTCTGGAATGTCAATTGGGCTCCACGCAAAAACATCTAAATTATCAGAAAAACACTTTACTAATTCTTCTTTTTCTTCTGGCCTCATGTTCACCCCAATGCTGAATTCACGTCTTTCCCCTATCAAAATTTTTCAGTCATGTCAAGTGGCTCAATTCGCTCCCTTGGGGGGCTCAAAATCCAACTTTATGACCGACGGTGATACCTTCTCGAAGATTGTTGATCGCCTCTCACATACCCTACGCCGTGGCTGGTCGGGAACTTTATAACTTGATGATAAGTGGAAGGAATTGCACCAGCGACATTTAACAGAAATCGACCATATATTGCATTGTACGCCATGGGGTCTTAACAACAAGAAAGTTTGCTAGGATCGCCACGCTTGTTGGATATGTACCCAATGTCACTGGAAGTTCTATAGCTCCCTCTGGTATAACAGTAGCTCCTCCGAATCCTTGAAGGGGAGTGGACACAGCTTTTAATTTTTCAAGAGAAATTTTCAATCCCATAAATGCTTCCCAAGTGAGGACGTTTACCGCGCTACCACCATCAACCAAAACCTTTTTTACGTCAAAATTCGCTATGTCACCGACGATCACCAAAGCATCATCATGGGGCATTGCCACACCAATCAGATCTTTTTCATTGAAAGTAATATTTTGGTGAAACCTGGCCTTCTCCTGGATGGAGCAAACCCCAATAGTGTGAGCATAGCCCTTCCTATCTGAATTCGAGTCTCCGCCTGCTGCAGTCCCTCCAGCTATCACAATTATTACTCTGACCCTAGGTGGTGCTCGATCGTCAACTTTTTGTTTGCCTCGATCATTCTTCACATACTTAGTCAAAAGTCCCCGTTTCAATTGGCGCTCGATCTCCTCCTTCAAGTGGATACATTCCTCTGTATCATGCCCATGATCCCTATGGAATTGACAATACATGCTCTTGTCTCTCTTTTTAGCGGAGGTTTCCATGGGCTTTAGATAATCGAGCTCCTTCATGTCCCAAATTTCCATCAATACTTTAGCCCGTGGAGCGTCTAGAGGGGTGAAAGTTATTATCTCTTCTCGTTTCTGTTTGACTGAGCAATCTTGGGCATAGCCTCTTTTCACATGTTCATTTTTCTACTTATTCTTATCTGCAAAATTTCTCTCCTCATGTGATTTTTGTTTGTGAGTTTCTGGTTTTTGTCCTTCTCGAAAGCTTTTCGTGACCGTCTTTGCTTCCTTAGCGTCTACATACTTGTCTCCTTTTTTCAACAGTTCATGCATTGACTCCGGGGAGGTTTTTTTTAGAGTGACATCTTAAAAGACCAATTCTGCGTCCCATTCATCAATACAGTGACTACCGCTGACATCTGAAGATCATTTATGCCCAATATTGCCCGACTGAACCTAGTCAAATAATCTTGCAATGGCTCATCTTTTTCTTGAACAACTTGTATTAGTCCTATGGAGATCTTTCTCTTCCTCTTGTTGCTTATGAAATATGCTACAAAGCTTCTGCAGAGCTCATCAAATGTTCTGATTGATTGTGGCGCCAGAGTGGCTGCCCAATCTCTTGCTTCTCTTATTAGCGTCGGCGAAAAGGACCGACACATCACGGCATAGCTGTATACAGTCTCAACAAATCAACAAAAGTGCGTAGATGATCAAGTGGATCTGTGACTCCATCATATGCTTCTATCATTGGTTGTTTGAAATCCTTTGGTAGAGGGATTGCTATGATTTCTGGGGTGAACAGGTCTTCTTCCAAAACCATCTGCCTTTGCATGTCCTTCCTCCTTGACAATGCATCATCCATCATTTGGGACATTATTTCTTCCATCCTGCGCTCCAAGTCTGCCATAGGATGCGTGGCTTGTGTATGTGTGACTTCATGTGACCCTTAGTCGGCAACGATTTCCTGAATGACTGGTGGGACAACTACATAGTTTGCTTGGGGTTGCCCATTTATGTCTTGCGATGATGCTTCTGGTATATTATGAGATGGACTGGCTACTCTTGGTGTCTAACTTTGCAAGAGAGTTATTACAGTGGCTACTGGGCCTTCTAAAGGTCAAATTGGCTCTGTGTCACATATTGAGGTTGAGACTGCGGATCTTGACCTCTGGCAACAGACTCTGACTTCGAGGGCTAGTAACTGCACGTGTATCACTCTTAGTTCATCTTCTCGACATAGCTTTTTATGTTCAGTGAAGATTTCCAACAGACAGCGCCAATGAAATAGTTCTGGTGTAACTCCGTGTTTTTTCAGTGAAAGAATGATCTCTTGTCCTCCGGTGATCCTGCAAAAAGAGGCTGGGGCTTCCTCCCTAGTTCTACCTTCGGCATGAGAGTCAATAATCGTTTTTAGATAGAGGATTTTAAAGAATTGCAGTAGTGACAGAGGAAAGAATTTTTTCTGGAAAAAGACAGAACCCCTTTACCTGACACGCCCATGGGATATTTATAGGTGTTTGACATCACGTAATCGCTGGGCAGTTGCCATTCACGTGTCCCCATCAGTCTAGCATCACATAATCATCGGGTAGTTGTCATCCACGTGTCCTCATAAGACCTGCCCGCTCTTTAGATGGTTTTTTCTGTTTATTCGGTTACCCGAGTAGTGGGATAATAACCAGTCGGATGGTTATTGACCGATTCCAATGTTGTTCGGGTAGATGATGGTCGCTCTGCGCGTGGCAAGTGTCGGACTAGCATAGCAGTTAGCGCTCTAATATGATGAGCGTTACCTGACATGCTACAACTGTCTGTACCTTACGAGCAAGCGAAGGTAGCATCGATTGAGCTGACACTACGGTAGTCATCATATCATGATAGGTGCTACCTGACGTAGCGGGGGTCGCCCGATATAGCGGGGGTCATCCTCTCTCTATCAATCATCCTTATTAATTATTTGAACCACATGATATCAAGAATGTTAAAATCCGAAATGTTATTATATTACGCAACCCATAACCATTTGAAAATATAGTTTGGGAGTGATTAAATCGGTGTAGGAATTATTGACACGAGTGTGGATTCCATGCATTCTTATCACTTTTGTGGATTCTTTGCTAACTAGATGAAACTAGGCAGGAAACATTGGAAATTTGATCCCGGGTATACTAATATTGGAATAAAAGTGAAAAAAATACAGGTTTCCTATGCAAGATCTACCCTATAAATGATTTTAGTGTGGTCACTTACTGAAAATCCCAAAAGTAAAACTCAAAATGGATCAAAACTAGTACATACAACAACCTTAAAAAAATAAGTGCATGAAACAGAATAAGCATTATATAAATGATTAAGTCGTGAACACTTATCTTAGATTGTTAGACTTTTAGTGGGATTATTAGCCTTGTTGAAATCTGGAGCTCGAGCAATCAAAATCTGGGAGATCGTCATAAGTTGTCCTTCACGATTTTTAGTCACGTTCCCTAGATCCGAAACTAAGACTTCTGCCTTATGAGATATTTAAGTTGAAATTCAGAAACCAATTCGGAAAGCTAAGATCTACCAAAGCTCACATGAAGACAAGAAACTTGAAGTAGAAGCCCTAAACCTAAAGACAAAGACATAAGCCACTTGCTTCCAACTTGTACTTTGACTTTTTCTGAGGGACTAGGTCCACTGGCAGCGGGATTCTAGGTATACTTGATCTCATCAGAGAGATGGCAGGTTCATACCATTGTTTTTGAGGAAATGGGTATGGTGGAATAGATTCATCAAAATTATTTTTAGCAACATATGGTATCTTTGATTAGTTTGGTGCGTCCTTCCCGGTCCTCTCATACTAGGGAAAGGTCCTTTCAATGTTCTAAC